TAGCTATGAACCCACACCAGCTCTGAGCCACAAGAGGAACAGGAGACAGCCAGGGCAGGTCAAAGTTAGGACACTTCACTGTTGACAGGGCTCCTTTAAAAAGACCCTTTTTTTGTAGAAAAGGACCTGGGGGTTACAGTAGACAATAAGCTGAATAGGAGCCAGCAGTGTGCGCTTGTTGCCAAGAAGGCTAACGGCATCCTGGGCTGCATTAGTAGGAGCACTGCCAACAGATCGAGGGAAGTGATTATTCCCCTCTATTCTGCACTGGTGAGACCACATCTGGAGTCCTGTGTTCAGTTCTGGGCCCCCACTACAGAAAGGATGTGGACAAATTGGAGGAAGTCCAGCAGAGGGCAATGAAAATAGGGGGCTGGGGGACATGACTTGTGAAGAGAGGCTGAGGGAACTGGGCTTATTGGCCATTTCTAGACATGCTCAGCATTTTCTAAACCATGTTAACCAATTCACATCACGCACTTTGAATCAAATTTCAATTTGAATTAAGGGTTAACAGACGATCATCGGCACCTCCAATTTACTAGTGTTGGAAGTAATTAGGAGGCAATAATAAGCCTGTTTAAACATTGCTGTGTGTTACAGTTATCTGAGCGCTGCGCGACTGACCTGATACCCCGTCCAGGGGAGGTTGTTGGCACATTTGACTTTGTAAAGCTTTGTGCCTGATTGGCTCCCTTGTGCTGCAAAAATCCAGTCGAGTTTCCCTTGAGGGGACTGATATTTGCAATGCTTATTTGTATATCTGAGTTCCTAAAGACTGTTTTTCCTAAAAGCAACGCTGTATATACATGTTAATTCATACTGTTTAACTTGCCTAATTCGGACTGCCCTAGTCTGCATTTAACTTTAAGTCTCATTCAATGGATTAGTTAAGTCAGATTGGAGCCAATTTTAATTCAAACTGTAGTCGTCCATGTGTACATAGTGGCAGCTGCAGTCTGGGTTAAGCCTAGAAAAACATCATGTCTATAAATAGCCATTCAGCGTGGAGAAGAGAAGACTGAGAAAGGATTTAATAGCAGCCTTCAGCTGCCTGAAGGGTAGTTACGAAGAGGATGGAGCTGGGCTGTTCTCAGCAGTGGCAGATGACAGAGCAAGAAGCAATGGTCTCAAGCTGCAAGGGAAGTTTAGGTTAGATAGTAGGAAAAAACTTTCTTACAAGGATGATAGTGAAGTACTGGAACAGACTACTCAGAGAGATCTGCATCTTTGGAGGTTTTTAAGACCCATCTAGACAAAGCCTTGGCTGGGATGATCTAGTTGGTGATGGTCCTGCTTTAAGCAAGGGGTTAGACTAGATGACCTCCTGAGGTCCCCTCCAACCCTAATTTTCTATGACGCAATGATTCTATGACTCATTTAAATCACATGCTACTAAGAGAGGGCTGAGAGGCATCAGTGTCTCAGTAATGCAGTACAGTAACTTGTTCCAAAAAACAAAAAAGCCAAGATGCAGAAGAGATGCACCTCCAGCACAGTGAGTCCCAGCTTCCTCCCATTCTCTAGTCCAAGGAAGAGATTGTCTTTATCAACACAGTTATATATTCCAGTCTCAGGGGAAGAGACACAGTTCTAGACATGGAACAGACTTTTACTATTTAATATATTAGCACTGCCTGGTAGCAGACACTACTTTGCAAGCGCACATCTCTTTTAAGAGGCTTTCATGCCTGTTTGGCATTTCCTTGTGAAACAATGAATATTTTAGAAACGTTCTGCACTTTAGATTAAATCCTTCCCTAACCAAACACTTCTCCCCTTCCCCACCTCAACCCCAGCAGTAGAGGATACCCAGGCTGCTCATCTGACATTGCATAAATCCTCATCTGCTGTAGAAACACCCTGCCCTGCTTTCCTCAAACCTTCGAGATTGAGGGGGGTTTGCTTATTATACCTTATGTGCTGGGCCACAGCAACAATGCTGGGCACATCTTCTGAGTGCAAACCCCTTGTCAAAAATGAAAAAAAAGCAGGCATTCAAACCCCAGAAACAAGTCACTTCACTCAGCCACGCTATACACCCTATATAGCTCATAATTCACTGAACAAACTGACTGTTGATCTTTAGAAGAAAACAAGGCAAACAGGAATAAAAAGATATATACACATGGGTCCACCAGACAAATCATCATCATGAGAATAACCGTGATTCTGAAGCAGATGATTTTGAAACCCTGCTGCTTTTAGGTAAGTGTTTTGTATTCAACATACAAAAAACTAGCGCTCTTGGTTCCAAATTGATCCCTTTTATTAGACCAACTGGAAAATTGCAAGAATTGTGATTCAACACACACACACACACACACACACACACACACACACACACACACACGCTTCAGGTTCAAGTCTACCCTGCCTGCATCAGATCAAGGACCTGAGCCTCTGAGTACTATATCTATTATTACAGTTTTCATGGAAAATTTCACAGAATTTGTCCCACTCCAAAGTGGGAAAATTTCCACACAGCTCGAACAGAATGCATTTTCTTTTCAGCAGTTCATTTTCATAATTTGTGCAACATAAAGAACACGTACAGTATTTCACAAAACTCTCATAGCTGCCTAACTACCAGCTTCCTATTGGCAGGACCTCCCAGAAAGACTGATGTTGG